CCAATGCAACGTGTCATGATGCTGTAGAATGTTCGTACCAGTTTGAGAGGATCCGTTGGACGTGGTGCGGAAACGTATAGACGCGGACACTGACACGAGCGACACGACACAACACGAGCACAACACGACACCCACACACACATCACACACACACACACACACAACACACACCACAAAATCCCCATTTATAGTAAGATGTATATTATGTACAATGTTTATATTATTCTCAGCTTTAACTTGGCATTGTCTGACCAAGTGTCCTATAGGTGGCTGGCGAAGCGTGTTCCGCGTAAACACGCTCGTTATCATTAATCAAGCAGAACGATTATGAGCAAGTAGCTATTCTTAGCATTCTAGTCTTGGCTCGTGATAAACTCATGGTAAATACTTGTATGCTATTTTCTACCTTGTTTTCTACGTTTTGTGTTTATGTCTGAAGTGTTTCTAACTAATTTCGGTGATTATCGATTGCTCAGGACCACCTTGTGTAGTTGTGATCCGGTTTACTACAAATGAATCATTTCGGTTCAAGGATAGGGTATAACTTTATATTCTAATGAATATTATTATCATTATAAATATAATGGCGACACAGCACACTCGCAGCAGCGTTAGTTTTTATGAAGGAAAGTTGATATACAGTGACACAACAGTGGAACTGTAATTGAGAGGTACCGGTACGGTACCGTATTTGTGAATGTGCGTTCATAATCATATTAATTATTATTTTCAGTTTTTACTGACTCTGTCCCAAGTGCCTGTGGTTTGCACAATATCAGTGTCACTACTGACGTGTTAAACTGTTAGTGTTATCATCACAGGCACTTGAAGCGTTTCAATAAAATATAATGCTAACTAAATACGGAATCTATTTACTACCAAATTCTTAATGTTTCTATACTCTCTTTCACCTATTAGTATTATTGTCGACAGTTTCCTGTAAATCCCGTCCAAATCCTACGTCCAACCATGCATATACTATGCCCAAGCCTAGTTTAGCACCCCATATTAGTTTAGCACACATTGCGGCTGTCCCAAACTATCCTAGATCTGACAGCGCTGCTCTCAGACATGTCACAGTCATGTGACAACTACTGACAGCATTGGTTTTTCTCTAAATGACTGTGATGTAACAACTATATATTGACAGCGTTTCTTTCACTGCAACAGCCTTTCGGGGTGCAAACTGGGAATCCCGGTACAGTTAAGCCCCCTATATTCATGACTGAACATATGTGCTTCTTGCCACAGATGATGTAAAACATTTATAACATTTCACAACCAACAACACAGAAACACACAGGCAAAAAAACATTCACAGATATATCTTGCTGCACTCACCAATAAATTATATCACCGAGGGACATAACTATGACCAGTGCCACTGCCACACTAGATTATTGGATTTTGATTATACATGACCATACCTGACCCTAGTTCAAGTTTCATCTGACCATCCTTAGAAAATGTACACCAGATCCACACAAAAGATTGTGGGCACTCGGTATGGGCATTGCGAACAAATCTATCCCCTAAATAATAGTAAATATACGTAAAATGTTTATGCTAAATGATTACGATCAGACTTATGTTTTCAGGTTGAACGATGGCGGCGAATAAACTGACAAAACAGAGTGAGCGAGTGGCTTTCGCCAAAGATCTGTCATTTCCAAAATACAAGAGTACGGAGAGTTTGAGCTATGGATCAGTCGACCATACAGTAGAGCCTGTGGAGGCACATGAAGATGCACATACTTCGTTTGAACCAACACAAGAGGAAAACAAGCTGCTGCCTTCAGGGTGCTCTATCCGTTACAGTTTGCCTCTGGCTCGATTTACAGTGCTAACTACCCTACTTCTTTTCGTTGACTGTATTGTAACAGCGGTGTTGTGGTTTACAGGTAAGTAACATTAAAATTGTATATAGTCTGGTCGTGCTTGCTGAATCATAAAAATTGATTTATATGCATTTCTGGTAACCAATTATATGATGAAATGTGTGTGAATGTCCATATAGTTACAGGACATACACATCTCTCATCATTTGGACAGTCCTGCTTTACCAGGAACATGACTGTTGTGTATGTATGGTAGATGTACAATGTTTGCCCATATGGCTTTTGGTATTGACAATAGTCACATGAAAGATTTTTGTGCTTTCAGGAGGCAGTGGTGAATACCTCACAGACAGCGTTATCAATTTTTCATTCGAAACGTCCATATTCGATCTACTGCCACTGGCGATCGTGCGTACGCTCATTTTGGTGTCTATCTACTGGAAGTTGGAAAGTACTTATATGCAGCAGTATGAGTCTCCTCTTGACTACCAGCTGTTTCTCGTGAAGAGAGTATTGCACGCTAGTGCTGGCGCTGTGCAGCTTGTATTCACTGCATACGCGTTCATCAAAGGTGGAATGATACTTGCTGCATTCGTCCGATCTTCTAAATCGGCCGCCATGAGTGCAACGTTCTATGCTGCACTGGTGTGTGCGTGTGTATTCTCGCTCGCAGAGTTGCTCGCATACGTTCTAAGCTTCAGAACTTACAAGAAGTTGCCAAAGATGAGAGTACGACATATCTACAATGCAGTAGGTGTTGAAGTTGATGTGGATGGTACGCCAAAGAAAAGGGAGGCATCCCTTGTCAGGATAGCTGTTTTAGCAAAGCCAGTACGTTTACAACTTTGACTGCATATAATTACTTAAGCATTTGTTAGTATTAATTGTGGTAATTTCTCAGTCTTTATTAGTTGTTTTTGCTTATGATAAAAATGCATTAAGGTAACCCCCTAGAGACCCAAGAGTCATTAAAGCAATGACATTGACATCCGCATTTAAAGAGGTTACGAAAATAATCGATTTTACTTGTAGTGTTTTTTTTTTCAATTGCAGGAGTTTCCATTATTATCTGTTGGATTGTTTGCTTTGCTGTTCTCATCTGGCTCCCAGATAGTCGCGCCGCTATTTTTTGGACTAGTGATTGATGCTGCTCAGACGTCTATTGGTATGTAAGTTGGCGTGACTCATTAAACGGAACTAAAACACATCAGGGTTTAGTATTATAACTGTAATCGAACCTAATCGGTATCCATCCTTAACCGGGCATTAGCAAGTTTGTTAGTAAATAGATGTAACACCCATGCTTCTGCCGTTGGAATTAACACATTTTTGGTAGGGTGGTACACTTAAACCAGTGTTAGTAGTCACAGAATCATTGCATCTCTCGATTGACCCTTCTACGCGGGTTTGACTGCATGTGCCTAGAGTGGGAGCAGCTGCAAGTGCTAATCTATCATTTATGTTTGTCCAGCAAAGTTGAACAGGGTAGTGGTGATCATGCTGCTGATCTACGGTGTTGGAGCATTGGCGTCGATGATTCGAGCGTGGATGTTTGAGCTTGCTGGACAACGCTTTGTTGCTAGGCTACGCAAAGATGTATTCACAGCCATAATAAAACAAGAAATTGGCTTCTTTGATGAGACTAGGTATAAATCCGTTTTGTGAGCAGGTATAGCCTGCACTAATTGTATCCCCCGCGACGAAGTCGGCGGGGATATTATGGTTTCATGTCTCCCCAGCCGCTGCCGCCGCTCGGTCCGCCGCAGAGAATCATCCTTCCGCTCTATAACTCGACCCCTAATTGACCTAGCGCTACCAAACTTGGTATACTTACACATCTTGGGGAGAAGGTGAGCTGCGTACCAAAACCAGGTCACTACGACCTTTATTTGACCTTGATCATATTTCCCTTCCACTCTATAACTCGGCGCCTAATTGACCTATAGCGCTACCAAACTTGGTCTACATACACATCTTGGGGAGAAGGTGTGTCGCATAACAAAACCAGGTCACTACGACCTTTATTTGACCTTTACCTTAACCTTGATCATATTTCCCTTCCGTTCTATAACATGGCCCCTAATTGACCTAGCGCTACCAAACTTGGTATACTTACACATCTTGGGGAGAATGTGTGTCGCGTACCAAAACCAGGTCACTGCGGCTTTTATTTGACCTTGACCTTGACCTTGGTCATATTTCCCTTCCGCTCTAAAACTCGGCCCCTAATTGGCCTAGCACGAGCAAACTTGGTATACTTGCACATCTGGGGAAGAAGGTGTGTCGCGTACCGAAACCAGGTCACTGCAACCTTTATTTGACATTGACCTTGAACTTGACCTTCATCATATTTCCCTTTCTCTCTATAACTCGGCCCCTAATTGACCTATAGCGCGACCAAACTTCGTATACTTACACATCTTGGGGAGAACACGGGGGATACATGTAGTTGGCGACAACTGCCCTTTCTAGTTATACTGATTCGTTTGTGATATTTCTATTGTTGCAGTTAAACTTGCCGAAACCAGAGTCGTGGTCATTTAGTTGAGTGAGGCCATTTGTTCTGCGTTGGAATTTTTGTGCTGTAATACAAATTTTGCGAATGTGAACAATTCAATGTTAATACCTTCTTGGAGTATTAATATATCAAAACTTTTATCACTTTAGGACAGGAGAACTAACGAACAGGCTTGCCTCGGATACACAAGTTGTGCAGAATGCTGTGACAGTACGTATTTTTACCATAAATTGATATTAATGGTCAATGCCATTGTCAATCCTAGTCTAAAGGCAAATCAGAGACGAACATGTCAGGCTATCCTAGTTGTTTGTTTTTGCTAATTTTTTTTCAATACGAGTAAATATGTGTCCTGTAGTGTTAAGCGCAATGTTGTACACTGCTGATATAAATGCCTATATATTTTTCTATATAAATAGTGATGAATGTTCCTAAACTCAGTTCTATCACCGCATGAAAACAAAATGGCAAAATTTATACAATGTATCCCCATTGAATAATTGGAGATTATATATTTTAGAAAGTTACAAAAAGTAAAATATACTTTGCTTTTTAGGTGAACATTTCAATGTTGGTACGCTATACGTTCCAAATCATTGGCTCCCTTGTGCTCATGTTCCTTCTCAGTGCAAAGCTTACTGCAGTACTGCTAGCAGTCGTACCTGCTATTGCTGTTGGTGCTGTCCAGTATGGTAAGTCACATTAGATAGTGCAATAGTACGATTAAACATTAAAGTTGCTTAACCTCACAGTTAAATGCATATATATATAGACCTTCTGTGAGCTCGTCTATGTTGCAGAAATTCACTAGAACTCGTTTGTATTGCTACTTTCATCACATTTCTTCTCAAAATCTAAAGGAAATTACTTCTCTTACGAAAGTAGCACCACAGTGATGTTTACACATCTGGGACACAGCGGAGCGATCGTTAACAGCTAGTTTTTTTCTATGATAAAACAAGTTATAATTCATTATTATATGTTTATTCAGTACAAAATTGTGAAATTTGTTTAAATCATATATCATTATCTACATTACATATGCAATCAGGAAACATATATAGTGTTTTCGTTCCAGGAACTATTTGCGCTATGGCGTATAGATACTATTTTGCGTTATCTGGCACTTCATACAAATAACTTGCGTCTGACAGAATTGTCAAAATAGTCAAGTTCGGAGCACATTTCTGGCTCAATGAGAACATTTCGTGATGTTTGCACACTGCAAGTATGCTCGAGTAGGTCTATATAAGCCTTTTGTTGCAAGGTCTATACGTTTTAAACTACTAATTATGATAACAATTAACATGTGTGAAATTATGTAGGACTGTAGGTATCGTTAGTGCACACATGCATGTACAATGATATTTCTCTGGTTATAGTTGTTGTGAAATGTTTGGTATCAATATGTCATTGAAACTGAAGCACTGTCACAATAAAATATGCAAAACCTTGCAATGATATATTTATATATATACATCATAAGCCCATCTGTGCTCACGGTTAATATGTCTAAATGTAAACTTTCTAATTTAAAACATTCTAAGTAGTAATAAAAGTATAGCATAATTATACTTTAACATTGCACACTGTGTAACAGCCGTTGTCGAAACTCATTTCGATCGTTTATTCCTTGAGTGCATGTGCCCTCTTTGCAATGGTACTTTCAGGCAAGTTTTTAAAGTCGCTTCGGAAGAAGTTTCAGGACGAACTGGCTGATGCAAACACCACAGCTGAGGAATCCATGTCGAACATACGCACCGTGCGAAGCTTCTGTGGGGAGAGGAAGGCCGTAAGAGAATATGGGGAGAAAATTGGCAAGAGCTTCTCCTTGGGTAGAAGAATTGCAGTGCTGCAAGGTGAATGATCGAACGCAATACATTGCTGGCTTGACGGTGCTATGCTTATTTTAGTTAGCAACATGAATATTATACTCATGCCATCATACTCTTTATTCCCTGCCCTCAAAAAGAGGGAGTTCGTGGCAAAATGAAGGAGTCCGCAGTCTGAGGTTCAAAATTAAAGATATGAACAATAATATGCATGTGCTTATTTTGAAGATTCATGCGTTGCACGTCTGCCAAATTTTCTTTGGACATTTGCTGAAAAAATACGGTAACTTCGCGAGGCCGCGCTCTGGAACGAACTAGTTAGTATGACAGAATTTTCAGGGAGTCACACGGACTCCTGCATATGTCAAATCCGGCAGTAAATCAGGGAGGATTTGACTCCGGACTCGCGTTAATTTTGCACCCTGGTATTGATACGAAATGATAGTAGGTAAGTCATCATGTGTGTGATGTTGTTGCAGGTGTCTTTCAAGGGGGCGTAAATGTGATGGCATTTGGTGCCATCACTTGTGTGCTGTGGTATGGAGGCAACCTGCTTTATGCTAACACTCAAGATTCCTCAGAAGGCATCACAGCTGGAGTCCTCACTTGTAAGGGAAACTGCCTAGCTGCAACATGTTGACTATTTTTGCATTTTTACCCATGACAATCGGCATACATTTAGTGGATTATGTGCATCTAGGTGGAATGAGTGTGTTTAACACTGTCTGTGTGTGATGTTGAACGTCTTTCTTTTTCTGTAATATTCCAATGAACATCTTGTGGTATGGTATCCTTCGTTGGTAGTGTATGAGTAGATGTAGCATATTAAGGTGAATATGTGGAAAGAAAAACCAGTGGCATACTGAGTTTTCTATACTATATTAGTGTCTATTTTGAATTATTTCTATGTTTCAGCTTTCCTTCTCTTCACATTGAATGTGGCTATGGGTTTTGCATTTGTCTCTGCACTCTATGGGGAGTTTATGCAGGTATCTTGTTCACCACACTTTTCATGGTTTCTTATTCTGAAACTAAAATGACAACTATTTGAATATATAACAAAAATTATAAATTATAAATAATAAAAATAATAATATTTATTTAATAAAAAAAAAAGTTGGTGTCCTTACTTGTAGAGTTTATACAACTGTTCCCAATGGTTATAATCTACATGTGTTTTTGGATTAAAATTAAGTGGTTCAGATGTATGTATCTGGTTGTGCTTCTAACAACAGAGCAGCACAGTGTGACATATCATTTATATAGAGATATACAAGGTAAGGTCATTTACAGGTCAACACAAATATCTTCACCATTGCATTTTACTGGAAATTGATTCATTGCAAAGATGTTGTACATCTAATGGTTTTTGTGTATAATTAATGTAATCTGTGTTTAGGTATAGTAAACATCTAATGGTGTATGTGCGTGTGTATAATGCAGGCTGTGGGCGCATCCATCCGTCTATTTGAGCTACTAGACAGAGAACCTAAGGTCAATAATCAGGGCCTGTGCAGACTGGAAGAGCTGAGGGCAGAGGTTGCCTTTGACGATGTTCACTTCACTTACCCGGCTCGTCCGGGCAGTGAAGTCTTGAAGGTTTGTCAGTTTCGCTTATAATTAATACGGCACATGCCTTTTCGCACTCTCTATTAAATGTTTTCTGTTTTTTTAACAGTAAATAACTGTGTATGTGTCTTGTGCTATATTGTTGGTACAATGCAGTGTCTACATTTGTCGGAAAATTATTCAGTAAGTGTGAAATACATAATTAGTACTGCTTGATAAAAATTAGCCCCAGCAACTCTACTATTGACTTTATAAACATAAGGAGTAAGATGTTAGAGGCATTTTTACAGGGCTGCCAACATTGGGTGATAGGTGAGAGTGAGATGCGAGGGAGCGAAGCGACCAAGCGGGGGGTGGGCGTGGGAGGGGGTTTCCCCCCTCCCACGGTAGGGAGCTTTTGCATTTTATAACTTCAATTTGTGCAATTTGGTGCATACTAAAGTGACTGTTTTCAGATATTGTAAGATTTTTTTTGCTGTGCGTGCGATATTTCAGCGTTTTATTCATGAAGAGATATTCATGCGTGAGATATCTCAGCATTTTTTTGCTGTGCGTGAGATATTGTAAGATCAGCGTGAGAGCGTGAGATTTGGTCAAAATGCGTGAGTCTCACGGTCAATGCGTGACAGGGCAGCCCTGTTTTTATGTGTGTGCAGTTTGCTGCTGTTTGTGTTGTTGTAGAAATGATATACATATATATATATATATGTGCACTAATGTACTATATTGTAATCATTCCCTCTGTCTGTACCTATAGTACTAATTGTATTATGATTTATTGCAAGGCCACTGTACGGATATTTTATATCTTATTAGGACTAAGATATTAATGATGAAATGGTGTTTCAATATATGTTTCCCGTCTTTGCAGGGGGTGTCGTTTAAGGTTGACATAGGTAGTATGGTGGCACTTGTGGGGCCATCTGGTGGAGGAAAATCGACCATCGTGAGTTTAATAGAGCGATTCTATGACACAAACCAAGGAAATATAATATTAGGTAAATACTTTTAACTTTGGTGTCTGTCTAAGAATTTTCTTGAGATTTTTGTGATATATTTCTGCCTCATTTCAGTTTCGAGATACTTGCAATTCATCTTAAAATCTCACATACATAGTCGCATACATCTACATAATTAAATGAGTAATTAACTAAATAAATTACATTCTTTGTTTTGCTATTCTGCTTCTTAGGTGGGAGTAATATCACAACCTTAGACAGTGATTGGTTCAGGCACAAAATCGCAATTGTTAGTCAGGAGCCAGTATTGTTTTCTTGCTCAATTAGAGACAACATTACGTATGGCAAGGAAGCTAGCATCGATGAGGTAAGTTAATTTACTAGACTGATGTAAAGTCAATGCCACTTCACTAAATGTTACATAAAACAGGATTTACAAAGACTGTGTAAGGCTATACGCTGTCACACACAGCCACTGGTTATTTGACTACTTTTCCTTTGAGTTGTAGTCAACTTTACATAACTATATCTGTCCCATCCTGCCCCGCATACGTGGGGCACGATGGGACAAACAATGAAGGCTTATTTTCCAACATTTTGGTATACATAACTTTATAATAGTGTCTGAAACAAACGAATTTTTGACCAAATTGATGTGTGTTGGATCTATTACACAAACGTGCACGAGACTGGCGTGGCATGAGTGTAAGGAATGCTTTGTCCAAACTATTAGCGCCATCTACCTTTAAGATTAGACTAACTCCAGAACTGTGTGCCGTTTGTATATATGGATGGATATTTCAAACCTGTTGCGTTGCAGGTAATAGAGGTAGCTAAGCAGGCGAATGCTCATGATTTCATCATGTCGTTCGAAGATCGCTACGATACGCTCGTGGGCGAGAGAGGGTTGAGACTTTCTGGCGGCCAGAAACAGAGAATAGCCATTGCTCGAGCGCTGATAATAAATCCCCAGATTCTGCTGTTAGATGAGGTGAGCAGAATAAATCAACAACCAAAGTGTAACATGTGGCACGATGTCCGTTTGCAGCAAGGAGCTAAATATAACAAGGAGAGGAAGTGGATTGGCTGTGTGCTTTTCGCCTCAAGGGCGCCATCTATGGATCATAATCAGCTGAAACGGCTGTGCAGACCGACCCAGAGACAATAGAACACTAATCTGTTCTAGGGTCTCTGCCGAACCCAAATTTGGGCTAGATATGGCGGCGCTTCCTCTCCTTGTTATATTTAGCTCCTTGGTTTGCAGCACAAACAGAGGTGTTACACATTATTATAAATGAATGACCATCGTTACGTTTTGAAATCAGGTATTTGTTACCTTGTATTTTCTTAACTTGTAATATTGAACAAGATCAATTTATACCTAGGATACATGTAAAACCTGTTTTTATAGAATGTATTAATGAAAGCAATGTCCTACCTAGTATTTACCTTTATGAAAGGGAGATGCACCAAGTATGATTATCAAGATTTTTGCTATAAGCTAAAGCTATTATTCTTGCTATTGATAATAAATTGAACCTATTTCAATATCTGTATGTATTTCTATTTTACCTATTTATTTTTTTCAAATAATTTTCCTCCCATTGCTTACAGGCTACCAGTGCGCTGGATTCAGAGAGTGAGTACTTGGTGCAGGAGGCCATAGATAGAGCTATGGATGGTAGGACAGTCCTCGTTATTGCACATCGGCTATCTACCGTCAAGACTGCTGCTCTGGTGACTATATACGTGCTACACTGTGTCCCCGTTATAACTCGATCATTGAGGTCCATAAAATGTCATCGCGAAAAAAGTGGGGTTGCGCTAAATAGTGGTTCAAGAAAAATGCTGTCGCTGTCGACCTAAGCACTCAGTCGCAGTGAGTTGCAATGTGTCGCGTCGCGTCGCATTCAATTGCAGTCCGACCTAGGGCCGGCTTAACTCACGAAAAAACTGTTCAGTTCTGGAAAGAGCAAAAAAAGGCCCAATGACTCATCGCGTTATATCCGAATTCACGTTAAATCGGGGCGCATAAAATGGGGGTTTCACTGTACTTGCAGTAACATACAGCACTCGGGCTTAAGTTAGACCTTGCTAGTATGTAAAATAGGATGCGTAGTTAGCATTGTTGATCATATATTAATAATTGCTGATTTCAATAACACATGTTACAACTTTATTTGAGCATGCCTTAACGTAGTTTATAGTATTTTAAGCTACCGGGTGACGTAATTGCATATATTGCCACTATAGGCACGAAGCATGTAGTGATTTATTTATTATTTATATGAAATAGGAAAATTTGATATGTAGCACATTTCTAGTGTAACTGCAGATAAGGCTGAACCTTGGATTACATTTATCTTTTAAACATATTTTTCTAATATGTATATATATGAATTACATAAAGTATATTCTAAATTACATTACATGAACAGTTATAGGTTCTTTTCAGTGTTGAACTGATATACCACCGTGAATATAGCATAATATAATACTGTTATCTGTACTTTGCTTGCTAGGTGATTGTCATTGACAAGGGAATCATAGTAGAACAGGGAACTCATGAGGACCTTCTGGCCAGGAATGGAGTTTACCGAAAACTTGTGTTGAGACAATTAACTTCAGAAAATGCTTCTTTGACATCTGAACCACAGGTCGATGAAGATAATGGCAAAAAATGAGTTCTTCAACCCAAAGTCTAAAGATTGTGAGATAACATTGAACACCAGTGATAATAATCAGCTATCAAATGATGTATTATGATTCATCTGAAGTCGTAAGATGTATTTAATTTGTTCTTTTCCTCTAAAGTCTAAAGTATAATATATTTATGCCATTACTAGTGATTTTTTGTGTTGACCAGACGTGATGCGGCCATGATGCCGAGGCGCGCCGAGGATTGACACTTTGTGTCTTCCAATCACAGCGTACGCCGCACCTCTCCGTTATAATTTTAAAGGTGGGGACCCATTGAGGTACGGAATCGCCGATCTCAAGAACTAGGGCATTCTGCTAGGCTAGAACGGTTTCCTACGAGAGTTTGGCACAAAAACGAAAATAACACGCTGTTTAGCGCACTGCGCTACGTCCGATCTGTTGCATTTTCGCATCTCCGTAATCAGAATAAGCCCCGCCTTCTTCGTTGATGGGCATGAATGGGGCGTCACCGACGTGACCGGTTCTTTTCCCCAGCCTGTTTACTTTTCGTAAATAATTAAATGCCCGGCCGATGCATTTCGCATCGAACAGGAAAATTTTCACTCGCTGTCGGAAGTGAACGAGTGCGTCATTCATTGAACAATTCAATAAAACACACAATGTTCGGAGCTAATGTTTACATGCCACAGCGCCATCTCTTGGATGTTTTATAAGTAAATATGGGGATTTTCAATAAAATAATGCGTTTTTATATGTATTTACCACGATTTACGTATAGAAACTATATGCTATTTTTACTCATTTCTCCGTATCTTTCCTTGGAGTTTTCATCGTCTTTCAATGCCTTTCGGTAGGTTTTCTGCATGATTATCATTTTGCGCAGGCACTCATTTTGGAAATCCTCCAACATTTTTAGCTCATCTGACGTAGTCAGGTGCAGCTTGTAGAATTGCATGATTGTCCGTCCGTCCAGGGGCGTGTATAGGATTTGTAGCAGAGGGGTCTAACCGTAACCCAAACTTGCAAGCACGCGAAGGCGGCTGGGTGCTGAGGAGCCTCCCACACGCAGAAATTTTTTTGAAAATTAACGGCCCGCTCATATGCGTTTTGCTGCGCGAGCAGGAATGGCGTCCGGACGGCCCCTGGACCCGCTCCCCCGCCCCCTTGTAGCACGCCCACGGCCGTTCGTCCGTCCGTCCGTCAATCCAATAAAAAAAAAAAAAAGAAAAAAAAGAAAAGCGGAGTTTGGGATGTCGAAAGCTGGAGGTCAAAGTCAAGAGAGTCAGAGAGGTGCTAAAAGAATGGGGCGAACCATTCAAGTCCTTAACTTAAGGTATAGGGACGGAATGCACAAATTCGGCACTAAATCTATAACGGTCTCGACCTAAGGCTCGGGCTCGTGCAGTGGTGGATAACGCATCATGGTAGGAAAAGGCCATCACTGTGCGCGAAATGGAGGTCACAGGTCAAAGGTCCATCGAGTAATCACTAAAGGAATCGAAGAAGGGAGGGGCACAGGGCAGAATTTTAGACATTTGTCTGAGGACATGGTCTATAAGCGGAGGCGTTGAAAAAACTTTTTGTTTTAAAGTGGGTGAACGTACATATGTTATGCTTGATTGAAAGGGACCGACTGAAAATGTACTTTCCGCTGAGCAATGCGGACAAGCAAGTAATGTCGATAACCTTTGAACGCCTACAGAGCGAGGGTAAACATAGGATTTGTTTACTGTTAGCAAAGAATTGACTGGCCGGGTTGCTAAGTAGAATCTATACATGCGCATGATGTATGAGGCTATGCAATGTCAGCAGGGCGGAAAAGTTTCCAAAAAAGCTAAATTTGGTTGAGAAGGTTTAATGCTCCTTCAATCGTGATAGATTTCTTTACTCCTTAAATCCTTAAAATCGTATAACTGTCAGTGTGTTACATGTAACTTATGGCGCACTCGCAGTGCATGTGGGGCTGATAAGTAGCTGTGTAGTTTTGCCTGCGTATTGTATACGAGGTGGCAGCTCTCTATTCAGGCTGTAGGCTGCGTAGCGTAAAATGGATGAGTGCTTACCTACTTCGTCTTGCAAATAGTGTTGCTACTACGTACGATGGGAAGCTCAGCATCTTTAATCTTAAAGACACTAAACGTGCGCGCCATCTCGTGGCAACTTCATAACGATCGCGCCGAACAAGACATTTTTTCGAGAAGGTTCCATGATACGGCATCCTGTGCGCTCCACTGCTTCGGCAGCGTAATGTTGAACACATTGGGACTAATTCAGGTTTACAGAATGCCACGCACTCCACCACAGAGTCACCGGCAGTCAGCCGTGAGATGAGCGCTGTCGGCCCGCGCGCACTTGTTACTTCTTCTTTACGTAGGTTAGTCCATCTTTCACTGTATATTATGGCAAGGAAAGGCAACTGTGGCACATTCGTAAAATAATTTCACTGCGTGCTCTATAGTATGATTTCCATAATTGTTGCTCTTCTGGCCCATGAAGTAATATTTCCCTCATCATGACCCTACATTTTTCACGTTTCGGACTGCTTATCATAATGTTATAAAACCTCGCTATATCATTACATCAATGCCCCTAGGTATGAATATTTGGGCATTTTGATTACTTGTTGCGCCTATTAAATAGTCCTTCCGCTATCCTTTCTTTGTTTGTGCAATTTATACCCAATTATATCTTGTTTTGTTCATATTAAATCAATCATTCTTTGATTCAGGCCGTAATCTGGAGAAGACTGAGGCGATTTTTGTTACTGTTTTATAATCTCCAAATTCCTACAATATCGTCAATAAATATAATCATGTCATCTTCTAAAAAACTACAGACCGATAGCTATTTCACCAATCCCGCGTGAAGATGTAACGAGCTGAACGACGCTGTAAATAGACGGTGGTGCGCCGGGTGCCTCGAATTTGGCGGGCACGTTCGCAACCTGCGGATCAGCGTTTCAGACTTGAACATGCCCAGCGTTGCGTGCGCATATCCGCGGAAATCGCCGGCGTTTTATGCCGCTGCGCAGCGCTTAGGATCAACAGCAAAGCTGTGCCACGCAATCTTGTATCATGTCTATCTGGATATCTGATATGTGAATATATGAATATATAACTATCAACTGTGATTAGAGAAGTGTGATGTATTTTGTAAATTACCAGTATAGTATGTTTTTTGTACATCTTAGCAACAGTATTACAATGAATTATGTGGTCATAAATTAAATCTTTTAAATGCAGCTACCTTACAACACATAGACACTCACGATAATTAGGCAATGCATACATTAATTGTATTACTAATATTCTATAATATTATTTTATATTTACTAATTTGACTATAGTAATATTTGAGATTACGCTTTCAATAGTCTGATATTGTTTCGAGGAATAATAGTAAACCTATTTAATTTAATTTTAATAATTGTTTTATTGACTGCTAAAGTGGAGAGCTCTTTAATGATTGCTATATCATCAGGAGCAATAGAGTACTTTGTGAATTGGTCGTCCTTGTGTGAACGTGCTCACCTAGTCTCGTCAATACTTGTTAAAAACTATTCTGTTTATTTTGCACAAAATAAAAAGAATCCAAAAAATCGTTGGCATACCTCTTTTATCAGTTATTGTAAAATTACTAAGTACTTGGACTCGATACAAAGTGAACAAATCTGTGAAAAGTCAAAAGTGCAAAAAGATTGGTGACCTGTTGTCATTATTCACCCCTGAATAGAAGTATGCGTGTGTACAATACCTGAGAACAATGCAAACATTGATTTGTATATACATTGTATATATAATATTGATTTGTATATATATATATACATTGTTCTCAGTACAATACGATGAAAATATCGCATGGGCACACTAGATGGCGCTCGTAACGTCGGCGGCGGCGTGCGATCGAAGCGCCCTTATATTAAGCGGTGGTAGGTGGTTGTCGTGTTTATGTTTATTAGTTGACATTGTCATTGCTATTGCAAGTCTTACTCTCATTCGTTGAATGTCGTCGGATGTTTGGTAAAACGGGTATCAAGCCCGAAATTTTTGCGTGTGATCGAGCATTGCCTTATTGGTGTTTGAGCATTGTTAAATTATAATATTAATATATGCTCTCCATTTGCAATTCTCGGTGTTCGATAAACCGCCTACTAATACTATACTAGTAATACTAATACTAGTAATACTAATACAGTAATACTAAATAGTAATAGCAGTACTAGTAGTATTACCTACTATAACTAACTTAGTTAATGCTAGTATTACTGTATTAGTAATGAGATTGTGCAAATGTGATTGTGAGGCCACGGAGTAATGTCTAAAGTACGCTGCACTACTATTCCATCGTAACGTGTAAGTATTGCAGTACACACGTGTATAATATGCAAATAATGTATAGGCCCTATAATTTGCAAATAAATGTGCAAATCCTATGCTCTCCGGGCCACAGACTTGTTAGCTGTACCATAGCTATGCCTATGGTTTTAAAGCAGACTGACGCTTAGTGATATTAGATCAAGTCTAATTTACGGCTCCACTCTACTTGTACGTCATCATCATCACCTTACCTAGTTACATTAATATTTCTACAGTGAACCTTGTGCAGCCAAACGCGAGCACAGGCACTTGAAGCGTTTCAATAAAATATAATACTAAATAAATACGAAATCTATTTACTACCAAGTTCTTAATGTTTCTATCTTTCACCTATTATTGCCGACAGTTTCCTGTAAATTCCGTCCAAATCCTATGTGCAACATGCACTTGCGGCTGCCATTCCTCACGCGGCTGCACTGTGCACTTACACTTATATATATAGCAGGTAGGAAAGCGTGCTGCCCAAATACGCTCGACGCTCGCTTCACACGATTACAACGATTCACACGATTACAACACAAATATTTAACCATTCTACTCCATCTTTGTTTTTATATCAACAACAGTGTTTACTTGTTATAAAAACATACTGTCTCTGTTCGTAACCGAGCTGTGTCACGCGAAATCACACAAAGACTGACGAAATTCTCGCGTTCGATAACGTTGCCCAGTAAATGTAAATGGCTGTCAGAATCAGGAAACACCCACCGGTGCTCTTTGTGACCTCATTCTTGCTCCGCAACGCTGCAACGTTTTTGCAACGCTCCAATGGCGAGCTCGTACGGGAGTTAGAAAGAAGTGTGCCGCCTATAGCCCATAGACTG